ACTCGCTAGTGCACAACGGACAACAAATCAAACTAGAAGGAAAGAAGTGGTAACTAGTATCCTAGTTGAAAGGTTTAACTATTGCGAAGTAAAGTACCAGTAATTTAGCTAACACCAAAAGGGAAACAATAAAACAGGAGGTACCAACTCCCGATAACAAAACCTGTGGCTGATTTGCTGTACTCGATGTAGTTGTACGCTCACGCACCACTTCCTACCGCCCTTTGCTGACACTCGCCCAGGTTGCTCTCCTTCGCCAGTGCTCGTGCGCCCAACTTGTCTCCAATACTTCGAGAATTCCTGAAAACACATAAAATACCACGACCCAAAAACCAGAAGGAGCTATCACCGCTACCACTGGTATAGCCCAAACAATATAAAATGTACAAAGAAAGAAAAAGAAGAAACGAGAATATAAGGGGTGGGGCAGATTTGGGATGCAAAAGGGGTGGGGCAAGAAGACCCGATACAGTCAGTTAAAAACACAGCATGTGCTCCTTTAGATATGTCTACTTGAATATACGGAGAAGACTGCTGAGAAGCACTTGAAAGTGGAGAAGAAAAATTGGAGAAGAAATCGCAGATAATCGGCAAACAACCACACTTGGGATCCTTTTCACTAGATTGGAAGCCACCCACACTGATTCAACTCCAAAATCTAACTAAATATGACTGAAAAATCACCTAAACTAATTTATATAAATTTCTACACTATAACCCTAAGATTTCTATGTAAATCGAAAGGAAATCTTAGGGAAAATGGGGGAAATAGTGAGAGGATTTGAGGGAGTTCGATCTCGAGACCAAACAAATTTCTTTTGTTTTCTGTTGAAGAATATTTCTACACTATAACCAAACAACTTATATACAAATGAAAAGACGAAAAATGGAAGAAACATGATCGCCAGAGTTCGTTTCATTCCATCCAGATATGAAAATCCCGGTTAGCGAACAAGCCATTTGCATCCATTTCATGTGAGCTCTTGACTCTGGTTGCAGCAGTAGCAGTCACCAGTCGGTGGTCAAATCTGGCGGAGACTAGCAAGTAACAACAATAGAGTGGGTATAGTGTGCGACGAAATATGGTGAAGAAAGAAGAGGCGAAAGCAGGGATGAGGGGAAGCAGCCATGACGGGATCCAAAAAGTAAGTTTCTTTCTCTATCTTTAATGTTTGATTTTGTGGGTGTTGGATTGATAAAAATTTCTATTACTTTATTAATAGAAAAACCTTCATACTGTACAATTCTCACCCATATGAAATTTGGAAGCAAAGAAGCACGATTCCATCTTCTCAAATCCAAAAAGTAAGTTTCTTTCTCTATCTTTAATTTTTGATTGTGTGGGTGTTGGGCTGATGAAAATTGATAATTATTTTGGGTCTTGAAATTACCTAAAATACTACAAAAAAAGTTAGAAATAACCTTAATTGAAAATCTCATACTACACAAATCTCATTTGCAAGTCGTCCGCAACCAAAATCGTCGGCCACCATCACAACCAAAAAAGTCAGTAAGTTTCTCTTTCTATCTTTAGTGTTTGATTGTGTAGGTGTTGGGTTGATAAAAATTGCTAATTGGTTGGGTCTATGGCTTCGATTGTCAATGTTCAATTCACTGAATGAGTAAATTTTTTGTATCTGTTCCAATTTGGTATTGAAGAATCATGGCATTAGTTTTGAATTAAGCAAACTATTAACTTTTCTAGCATATTTTTTTATATGCATTATTCTTAGAGTTGTTTAACTTCATTTTTCCTATATTCTAGATCAATAGTTGCACATACATATTAGCGTTGAGCTAATCATTTTGTTGCTGGTTTGGTTGTAAATATCTCTTAATAAATGTTTTATGGGTATGCCAACTAATTTGCTAGTCTCTTTCTGTAGCGTAATGTTGCTGGTGTTAGGATTCTTGATGTGATCAAATGATTTAGAACTTTTTCACTTTAGGATTCGTGGGCCTACTTTAATTATAGATATTTTGAAATTTCAGTCGTGGAAGACATTTGATGTGCAATTTAATATATTATTGGTATCATTTTTCTAGCCTTAATTTGTTGTTGATATTTGCTTGTTTTTGTTGTTGTGACTTGGCGTGCAACTTTTTTTTTACTTCTTCAAGGTATTCTTTGCTTTTGATTTTTTTGTTTGTTTCTTCTCTATCATAACAAAGAAAGAAACTCTATTTAATTATTCGCACATCTATTTGGCTAGCCTATTAATCCATCTAGTTATTTCTGCTTATAGATATTAGGTGATAGAGTTGGTTGACAAGATACCTTTTCATATTATTTCACATTATCTGATACTACTTGAAGCTGCGGAAGGAGCAATTTTTATAATAGAGAATGTGGAAAGATGATCAGATAGTTTATGTATCACGTTTAGACATTAGATTTGGTAATTTCTAAATGTTAGCTTTTTATTTTTTTTCCCTCAATGTTACATCTAAGTTGTATTCTAATACTACAAGTTTCATTTGCCACATTAGCTAACTCTTTTATCTTCCTTTTGTCATCCTTTGTTCTTTTTTAGACAAAACATTTTTGTTGTATTCTAATACTATAACTTGATGTAGGGAGCTTCAACTTAAGAACGATTTGTCTTATTAGAAAACTACACTTCAATATCTTCAGCCATAATGAATGTTGTACTCTAGTTCGCATACAGCCTTATTTTCACATTGTTTTTAGAATTCACAATATATTTAAAGGTGTAAACTCATAATGTTTTATACATTACATTCCATCTTTTGACATGTTTATTTTTTTTTCAGGTCATATGTTAAAAAAATTCACATGTGGAAGATTTTAATATGATGAAGAGTTGCCGAAACTATTTTAAGATAGTATTTGATAGGATTAGTTATATCAGTTCAATCACTATAAGTTTTTTTAAAAAGTTTTGACATTAATATTTTGGGTTAGTACTTCCTTTGGACTGTTTAGATTCAATGAGATATATTTTGTTTTATGAATTAATAATAATATATTTTCTAGCATTTGCCTGTCTTTGTTTCCACCCCTTTTATTATTAGCGACAGTTAATTGAATTCACTTGCCATTAAAAGACTCTAAAATGTCAAAATAAGATATTTATAGCAAGGATACAATAACCAATCTAATTGCCACAAAAAATTTATTGTTAAAATAACTGACTTTTAGCGGCAATTTAATTGAATTTATCGTCTATAAAAATGGATGCTAGAAGAGCATAGTTAATTTGTTATGGATTTAATTTATCGGCCAAAATTACTATCGCAAACAATTGCCGGTAAAACTAACAATCTTTAGCGGCAATGAATTATATTCTTTATCAGCTTTTGTGAGAATGGTCACCAAAGGCTTTGCCGAACCCTGCATAGTTGGATGAATGCCATTGGCCGGTAAAGGACATAGCGGCTATTGTTTTTTCCGCTAAAGGCATTTTTTAGAGTGGTTAAAGCCCCATTTTGTAGTAGTGTTAAAGGTTTCTGACTAATCAAGTATGTATTCTACTGGTGACTCAGAGTTGATCATGAGATTCTCGTGATTTTCGTATGATGTCATGATAGATGTGGTGTGTTGTGTAGGATTGAGATTTGCATGTGCAAGGTCACAGTTCATTTTTGAAGGGAAGGTCATGAATTTTGAGACAACATGGACGATTTCAGATGTCTAGATGAATGCTATTACTACTTGGTATTGCCTGAGAAGGGTGCACATTTCAGAAGGCGTATTGTATTTTGACTTACATATGCTTCATTTGTATTGCGGTGCTCGCCTGATTTATCGACTGCTGGTATTCAGATTTTGCTATATGGCATGGAAGAATTATAGATTTATTCCTCGTGGGATGATTGTGTATGAGAGATGTGTTAGACATTCGGGTGGTGGAGTTAGGATAAAATATGGTGATTCATGTTTTCTATAGATTTGGAGACTGAGAGTTCTCAGAAGCAGATTGTTTTGTGGTTGTGGACTGTGAAAATATGGACAAATCTAGCTAGATTATAGTATTTATTATGGTTAGGTCGTTGTGGACTTTTGGAGGGCTATTTGTCCATTCAATGATGACCGAAGTTGATTTGAGGGCCCATTGGTAGGCCCAATGAGCATGTGTATTCTACACTAGTTCAGATTTATTTACTCCGAACTGCTATTGTTGAGGGATGTGCCATTCGGTTAGAATTGATTTTATCTGCATATGATACATTTTATGTGTTACTCTTTCATGCTATGAGGGGTTGTGATTCGTTGGTTATATGCACCTATGGTGCGGTTCTGTTTGGGCCTTATAGGGGAATTTGAGCGAGATGGTGATTGGAGTGTGGAATGGTTGATTGCGCCTTAGTTATGGTCTTTTCAAGTTGTGGTATATTATGTTGTTTTCTTCTCCATGGTTGTGGACATGCACTTCGGGTACTTGATGTCAAATTGCATATGGTTATTGATTTTGAGCATTATGGCTTGAGGTATTTCATATGGACTAGCGTTTGGATGGGGTCACACATTGTAGCTGGGTTATGTTGGGATCTGATCCTTTTGTGATAGATCTGTGTGTCTTGGTTCTACTATGTGTGACGGGTTCGTATCATTGCATTTGCGGTGACATTTATTGACCTTGTGGGACGGTTCTCTCATTTGAGTCATTTTTCATGTTTGAGTACTTTTGAATTGTTGCTTGTTGCTGCAAAGATTGCACGATTGTGACTTTAGGTTGTATTGGTGTGGCATGTAAATAGAATAGTTGTTTTTGAAGAGATAAGGTCATTGGACCTAGAATGGATACTATATGATTTGATTACGGTATGTTTGGAAGAATATTATCAAAAGTCAGCTAGGAATTTGGCTTTACTTCTAGTTGAACAAGTGAGGGAGCTCCATGACTTGTCGATCTGATGAGTGGTTACGAGTTTCTACATGTTTCTTTCATTATCGGCAGTGTACAGAGTTTTTGAATGAGGTTTTAATTGATATGAGGTTTACTACCTGTATCAAGTTTTTTTTAGAAGCTACTGTGATCGAGAATTATTGATACGCGTATGCGAGTTGTATGGTATATCATGTGATTACATCTTGGGTTGTGGTTATGGCTTGATACAACCTGTTCAGACTCATATAGTATGTAGATGCGAGATTCGAGTCTTATAAGGAATTCCAGATGTTGGAAATTGGGTTCTAAGGCTTACGGACTAAGGTTAAAGTAATGATGTGTTGTCAGGCTTACAAATTACAACCTATATTCACGTACGTTAGTTTATGCCATAAGTTAGTCAACATAAATCCAAGAAGATATTATCTTTGAGATAATAAGAAGTTCATCCTATTGGTATTAAATGATACAATGGTGTATAAGGGTGGTTAACAAGTATTAGAAGTTAAACGAATCAAGGATGTTGTCAGCTGTATTTTCGAGTAAACTTAGAGGTGCTTAATACACTCAAGAGGTCGTGTTTTAAGTTATTTGAAACATATAATATCCGTATCATAAGTCTTGAGATCAAACGAGTTATAAAACAAAAGTCGACAAAAGTTGTCGCAACTTACGTTCATAATTTTACTTAAACATTAATGCAAATGCTACTAAGCTTTTATCCTAATTTACTTTGAATTATGGGGTGATATACCCACCAAATTAAATATCTATGAGTCTAGTTTGCAACGCATTTAACCGTTTGTCGATACGATATTGGAGTAGAGAGATATTCGAATTTTTGCGAGACTGCGCCAAGCACCTCTCTGTGGGTCTCACATAGTCGGTTTTAGAGATATGGATATATATATATAATATGCCTAGAACCCATTTTAATCATTCATTTTTAGCATATTCAGATCTTAGAACCTAGAAACACCCTCTCAAGGTTCTCTCAAAATTCAAGACCCAAACAAAGGGCAAACAACACAAATCTAGTGTCGGGAATCCCTTGACGCTAGTAAGTTTCTTGTTCTTCTTGTTGTTGCTCATTTTTGTATTGTTCCAACTTGTGTGGGAGGTTTTTTAAAGGGTTTATGTTCTGCGTATACTCCCTCAAGTTTTTAATATCATCCCTAGCTGATTTCAAGCCTTCTAAAGTGATTCTAGTACCGAAAAACCCTAATTGATTTCTAGTTTCGTTTCCTTGTTGTTATGGCAGCATTATAGGGATATTTCATGGATAATTAAGGTCAAATTGGAGTTGTTCTTTATGTCTAAAGGTAAGGAACCTCTTACTCTACATGTATTTAAGATTATCCAAGTTGCTGCTAAATCATTGAAGCTAGAACTTGTGAAATATATATCGAAAGGCTTGGTAGTAATGTTGCCAGTTGGTGGACTATTTAGGGAGGCTTAATTTGTTTATAATTGATGTTTTTTTGGGATTTTTGGTGATTCGTTTCACTTGTGGGAAGTCATATAAATAGGGGAGGTGCTGTCCGTTTCATCGTAAAATAGGTTGTGGTCGGTACATAATAGTTACGACGCTTAAACATTAACGATAGTGTTATTTCTCCTATTGTAGACTAAAGAGTTATGACATTTGCATAGCTTCAGGTTGGGAAGTATATACAAGGTATGTGAGGCTATCCCTTTCCATCTTTTGCATGACTCCATTTTTACATAATGTAATGAACGAGCTTCTAAAAATACTCTACTCTTAGAAGCTAGTAGTACTTACATTGTTTCCCTTCTTATGGAGTGTTTGATGTTGATCTTGCTTATCTTATTCTTATGTTATCAATATTGTTGGTACTTCTTGATTCTTATAAGATTCATGATGAAGAGTTCGTCCTAATAACGTGTCCAGAGGATACCGACCTTACATCACTCCGAAAGGTTCAGAATATTATTCCAATAAGTCCAGCATGAATTATATATATGTATTTATTTTACTTTACCGAGCTGCGCTACAGACGGTCGGGTACGACACCTATTATGCAACCACCAATCAGTTTGGTTTTATCGAGCTTCACGTGGCCGGGTAGTGTTCTACCGAGCCTTATGATAGCTGGGTACGTTTTTACCAAATCCTCTTTAAGGCCGGGTACGATATGATGATGATGATGCCCACAAAGGCGTGTGTGTTAAAAGTTTATATATATATATATATGTCTGTATCATGCATTTCATGTCAGTAGCCCACAGAGATACCCAGATATTACATGTTGTATATTCTCTATCCTTATTCATATTACTGTTCATACTTATGCTTTCCTACCTTGCATACTCAGTACTTAACTCGTACTAACATCCTTTTTATTTGTGGGCACTGCATGTCGTGCTGCAGGTCCTGATAGACGGGTAGACACAGCTCCCCACCTACAGTAGGCTGCCCAGTTCTGCGGTTATTGACGAGATCCCTTCTCCGGACATGCCGTGGTCTTGGTAGGCATTTTTGTTATAGAAATCATGGGTATGTCTGGGCCCTGTACCGGTTATGTTATAGCACTTATGTTCCTTTAGAGGCTCATTGACAGGTGTCGACTCATGTATAGTTCGGTATGCCTTGTCGGCTGATTTTTGTTGTATAGTATTTCATGGCAGCGTGGTAGCTTGTACCTTATATATAATTTCCTGACTGTCTGGTTATTCCATGTTAAATATGTTCATGCCATTATCTCTCATTGTTGGTTGGTCATGATCTATATCTACCATTTATATTGATCTCGTCGGCCCTTAAAGATAATAAGAAAGGTTAGATAAAATGTACATTGGTGCTCGGCAAGTATGGCCTGGGTGCTAGTCATGACCCTCCAGTTTGGGTTGTGACAAACTTGGCATCAGAGCTAGTATGTGCTAGGGATTGTCTATAAGCCGTGTCTAGTAGAGTCTTGATTATGGATGTATAGCGCGCCACATTTTTAATCAGGAGGCTATATGATATCTAGGGTTGTTACCTTCTTCCTGAATCTATATCGTGTGTAGAGTTGAGTCATAAGTGTTCGTCTTTAATATTCACCTTATTTTCTTTCAGCAATGCCTTCGACTAG